GTCGCCTGTCATTGTCCCTGGACACCAAGGGAGAACTTTTATTGTATGTCATCCCCCCGTCCTCTAACCTTATTTCCGGTCATCTCTCTACCTTCCCAGGCATTCATAAAGATCACAATATTCCCCAAAATGTGTAAATTATTTCCTTATGTCTGTACATTCAAACAGATTGTTTATGTTGGCAGGCAGCATCAACAAATTTTGCCCTCCGATCAAAATTCACAAAAATCCCATGCAAATCCGACCAAATGTGTGTATCAATAATGGCTCTAATTTCTATTCGTTATACAGGCTCCAGAGACAACCCCTAACTAACAAACATCAAGACGGTGCTTACAGCACATTTGGATCAGGAGCGGGGAACACTTGGTAAGCATGTTAGCTGATCAACATACTTGTTCAACCATTTACCATACTTTTGTCATACTATGACATTAGTTTAGTTTAAGAAAAAAAAGAACATTTATACTTAAAGCAGAGAGTAGATGATGTCGACTGTACTTTCCAAAAATGTCAAAAGAACTTGAACACCACAAAACTACAAGCGAATGGCCAACTACACACTTACTTTTCTAGATCTGTTTGAGAATGACTGCTTCTTACCAGGCAGGTGGCAGTAGTTTTGCATTTCTCATTTAAAAAAGAACACTGGAAGACCATGGACTGGAATATGAACTAAAGCAGCCTTATGGATGTAGGTTTGTCCGCTCTCGCTCAGATGGTTTTGTAAAACAGCTGCTTCTAATTGAAAGAAATGTCGGATAAGAAGTTGCATATGGCACTGAAGTTGAAAAATGCAACAAACAATGTTGTTTGCTGCTTTACTGATTTCTGTTTCCGATTGCGCTTAAGCTTCAGCTTAACAGCCAATCAGAGTGATTTCTGTCACGGATGGCCTCCACCACATCCTCAGTTGGCCAGAAAAGCCACAGACACCAATGACCCAACACTGGTCATCAGCTGACTGTCAGCCCGGTGTGTCAGGGCCTTTAATCCTATTATAGTTAATAGTTTTTCACATCAATACTACAAAATTAATATTAGGTTAGCTAATGACCTTAAGCATAAAGTTTTTATTTTATTATCAGTGTTTCCTGTTGTCTTATTTTGTCAGTTATTGTTTAACATTGTTTTGATATCTTCAGGCTGACTGCTTTTGTGCTGAGATCTTTTGCCAAAGCGCAGTCTTTCATCTACATCGACCCAACAAAGATTGAAGAGTCGAAGACTTGGCTGGAGAGCAAACAACGAGAAAATGGCTGTTTTGAACAGTTGGGGAAACTCTTCAACAACCGAATGAAGGTAAGCTGACAGTCCCTGTAGAGAGTGTATGAAAATGACTGATGATAGCTGACACTGAAGAAGGTTCAGCACCTCTTTCATTCATGGCAGTAGTAACTAATGCTAACCAGTGGCTCGGTCCACAACATTTGCAACATGAGGTAATTCCCTCTTGTGTAACATTAGACAGGTTTCACTGGTTTTACACAAACAGCATTATTATGATTCATGTATGAACAGCCAGGAGCCCTGTAGGACTCCCATTTAATTGTGAAACAGGACACTGCCATCATTTGCAATCTGCATGTAAGCAGTGTCACTTTGGGGCCCCTGGGTTGTGGAGGAACAGTGTTGATAATGTCTGAATGATGCTTCCTCTCTACAGGGTGGTGTGTCTGATGAAGTGACTCTCAGTGCTTACATCACTGCTGCCTTCTTGGAGATGAATACGCCCGTAAAGGTGAGTCGACTCTTTGCAGTATAAATGTTGTTTTAAATGTAAACTGCAAATACAAAGAAAGACAAGAAGGGAGAAAACGGTTCCATTCCACATTATTTCCAAATTGTACTTTATTTATATTAATTTAAATGAAACCACTGTAGCCTAGGCCTACCCTAGGAGGGAGGGATCTTGTACTTTCTGGTGTCACTGGTGGCCACATTGACAAGTGGACATTTACATAACTTCCTCATGTTGTGGCACACACACACACACACACACACAGTTTTTACAAATGTAAAAATAAATATAAAACTGTTGATTTATGAATTGAATGAATGTGATATGGAAAACTAAATGAATATGTACTGGATATATAACAAATGTTTTAATAATATGATTAATATATAATAATTTTGTCTGTGTTCTCATTCAGGTTAGTTACTGTTTCTACTGTGTCCTTCCTTTGTACTGTTGTTTAATGTTACTGTTACTGGAGTTTGTTCACACAATGACAGACTTTATGATCATAAAATAGAATTAACAGCAAGTTAATTGTATTTTATGATCATTTTGTGTTTAGATCATCAGTTGAATCTGTGATACATTATTATTATATGTCTTCTTTTTAATCTAATTATAAGGCATCCCAAGTGGTGAACTAAGAGCTGTCTTGCCTCAAAGAGTCCATCAGTGACCTCAGCAACACCTACACCACAGCTCTGCTGGCCTACGTCTTCACCCTGGCAGGAGACATGGAGACCCGTGCTCACCTTCTGAAGCATCTAGACACGGTCGCATTAAACCAAGGTGAGTCATCCAATCATTCTGGCTTCATTACTGTGAATGTAGCTGACCTCATGCCTGTTTATCTGTTTGTGGATGGCTGTTTGTAGGAGGTTTCCTCCACTGGTCTCAGACAGCAACAGAAACGTCAGCCTCTCTGTCTGTGGAGATCAGCTCCTACGTGCTGCTGGCCAAACTCAGTGCCTCTCCTACTGCTGAAGACCTGGGCTATGCTGCCCGCATCGTCAGATGGCTCACAGGACAGCAGAACTATTATGGAGGCTTTTCCTCCACACAGGTACAGCCCCTAAAAAAAGCCCTGTTAAACATACAGTATTCTCTTCTGGGACAGATAACAAAGCTAGTTG